CCATTCTGACCCTGAATTTCCCCCTTTTCATCGCTTATTTTCCTCCTAATACGCACAATTTCTCCCTATTACTCGCACCATTCTTCCCTTATTCTCTTAACGTCAAACAACTCACAATTCAAATAAAGGTTCCTTATGGAACTAAATATATTCAATTTGAGTATGGGTTAAAGGAAAAAAAGTAACAAACATTCGGCTAGTGAATTCTTAAAGATTAATGAACATTTACAGTTACAAATGATACACACAAATAACAATAATAATAATGATAATACATTCTCATTTTTTACATGACGGACGCCAGTTTACAGGCTTCATCAATGCAGCACATCAAGAAATACAGAAATATTGTCTTCGCATTAAAAAACAAGAACCGAAGTATCTTCCGGATGGATTACAAATACTTGGGAAAAAAATAAAGCTTGAAGTCATATGAAGTCTAAATGCAGCTTGACATATATCTGCTCGCCATCATCAAGTAGGTCCATTGAACTATCCTGAAAAGGAAAAATAAATTAGTTAGTAAGGTAGTAATCAACGGTGACACTGATCCAGACATTTGACATAATCCTAATGATATACTGAACGTGTTTATCGAGCTTTAATAATTAACTTCATTATTAAGTACAAATCAATTATTTGTTGACATACAAATACTCACACTGAAAGACCTTAAGTGTGAGTATTTTTCAATGTTGAATTTTCCAATAAACATACAACAATAATTGAGTCATAAAAGACAAACCATGTACTGTTGAACAAACTGTCTACCTAAACAAACACCTAGTGCATATAATTAACACAACTAGTTATCATAACGTTGACAATTACACGCTACTTACTCGCAGTTGCATTATACATTTTGACAGCATTCATTTAATTAAATTGTCACTTACAGCACAGATGCTCTGGTCACTCTTCTTATTGTCAACAGCAACCTGTGAAAAATAATTTGCGTTTATTGATATTCATACAAAGGTTTGTAGTATGGTAACTTTAATTTAACAGAAACTTTACTTACTCTTGGCCGGCTACATCTTTTGTCGACACGATCACGTACGTCGTGGAAGTAGGCCTTAGCAGTTTCTGTCAAAGCTTTCATCATAACTTCGTCCTCGGGAATCGTAGCGGAGGCGAACTTGCTGACAATGACGGCTGAAAGAAATATTTCAATAAAGCAAGCTTACACGTTATAACTTTATAGAAGTGGCATTTTAAGACGGCTACTGCAACTTACCCCATCTTATTCGTTTTATAGGTACAATCAATTTCAACTACTACTGGAAACTTATGATACAGGTCTGTCATATCATTACGAGCGAAAATGATTTTCGATACAAAGCCTGCATTGTCCTGCAGAACAGTAACTGGACCTGTCTGCCTCAGTCGATGAAGGAGGTTTTCCAAACTACCGATTTCTATTCTACTGCACCATTTATTTTAATACGACTTACCTTTATTTATCTTAGCCCGCATGTTTTTAATATCACTATACAGGAGCACTTTGCCGAATTTCTCATGTGCTAAACCTATGATTTCATGGAAATCAGTATTCCTTTCAATGAACGGTTGCACGACTGTCATTTCTTCTGATGATAGCCAACGTCTAGGTACGTCGGTGGAAATGAAAGTTGCTGTGCATGCACAGTTTGGTATTTTGTTATCTTGTATACGTTGGATTTACGCCGTACTATAATTGTTGACTGATACGAAGTACTTTTGAACCTTAAAATTTTAAAAATTTACACTCACAGCCAACTTGTGCGTTCCTAGAGCCAGCACCTCGGGGAGTACGTTTATCTCCAAAAGTGCATTTATACCTCACACACTCATATTCCATAGGACCGGATGGATCTTTTTTACTTGAATCAACCCGATAGGATGTGTTGGATTCCTTTCACAGAAATAATGAACAGTTTAGTTAGTACCTTCATAGATATATCAAAAGCATCCTTAAATTGTAACCATGTATAAAATGCACACCAGAGCATTATCCTTTTGAATATACCTGTTACATCACACAATATAGATGACACATTTCGTGAAGTAGAGGCAGTAGTAGGAGTACTTTGCAACATCATTTAATGGTTTTAACAATTCCTAACGTACACAACAATGATTTCCAGTAAATGGACAGTAAATTGAATATTTCCATAATTTATTCAGAACAAAATATTTAGAGCAATTAATACCAGAAGACCATCTCTTTGCATACAGAAGAAGTATGTTCAACCACTATGTTTACCTTGGCCTACAATAAAGCCAACAAATCCTCCATTAACACTATAAAAATTCCTTTCACAATTTTCTTTTCTTCTTCTTCTATTCCTCTGTTTGATTGACAATCGTTTATTTTCGACCTTTATGATTTCATGACCTTTCTTATGATTTTATTACCTTAGGTTTAAGTAGTGCTTTTCTAACTTGCTATCGTATTTACAAAATCCTGTTCATTCCACTTCATTATTATTATTTGACAGTCATTCACCAATAGTGCTTGTAATTTTACACCATATCATCGTTATTATTTTACAATCATTCTTATTGTCGTTATTTTCAACCTGTGCGTCGGTAGCACAGTGGTTAGGACTCCCGTCGACCATGCAAATTGTCCGGCCGACGCACACCCGATATCTATGGTCGGCCTGTAAAATTTGGGCTACCGATATCCATGCTGAAAATTCCATACTTCTACCAAAAGTACTGTGTGGAATCAAGCTGTAAACAAAAATAAAAAAATAAAAAAAAATAAAATAAATAAAGAACTTATGTCTAGTCCGCCCCATTCGTTGGTTTATTTTCATATTGTCTCACACAGCCTGATTACACACACTCTCGAAACCTGTATTTTATGTTGACTATATTTATCTGTATACACACATCATTAAATTAAATCCCTTCATCTCATTTTGTCCCATGTTCTCATTGACCATGCATATTAAAAAACTATCTGACTATTGTTCCATCCCATCTTACACTTGTTCCACATTACACTTTCTGATATGATTCTAATTTGCCTTTACTGGCCATTGTATGCTTAAATTAATGGATTTATAATTGTAGAGCCTGAAGAAGAATTTATTGAAACCACAATTGTTCCCTCTAACTATTTTGTTCTGAATAAATGAACAGTAGTATATATTTCAGTGCTTATATATCACTGTTGTGACCTAGGTAATTTACTTGATTTATGCTGACCTAGTATGCATAAATCACACAGGTCACTGAAGTGACAACTTAAAAAAGTGGATCAATTAATATATACATATATCTATATGTCTTAAATAAAGACACATTAAATGTTTAGATATTGTAGTTGAATTATATTGCCCTAGTAACCAAAAATGCATACATCCTATTTTGGACTTAAAATAAATGTATCGAAATTATTGTTGATTTATATCCACTTACTAGACATTCGCATACACCCCAATGTACTTTAAACACCAGCATTACATCCAAATAGCGTGTGACTATCACACTACACTCACACCAAAAAATTAACACGCCATTATGTTATGGTAAAGTAAGTCTTAAATTAGACTGCCTGTAAATTTCCGTGTCAAAATAAAAAGATTACCGCTTTAACTGATATTATAGACCAACACGAAACCAGCTAG